TGTTTCTAATTTCACGAGATTTGACTTTTACTTACCTTTCAGTTAAAGAAGCGCGTCTCAAAGAAATCAAGTCCGAGATACTGAATTCTGAAAAACTGAAGGTAAGAATCCGTTCTAGCTCCTAGAAAAACGCTGTTCTTTACCATACTGCCAAGGATGGTTAATTTGTTATTTATTTGTTGTTTATTGGTACAACGAAAACGCGACTCAGATGTTGCCTTTTGAGCCGTAGTGAACTTGTTCGTGAAGGTAGAAGGGGTGGGTTTCTCCAGTTATTACACGATTGCCCAAAAATCATCCCAAGAGAGGTACGGAGATTCCAAAGTTTTAAAGATTGGTTTAAGTATGGTGGCAGTTCAGCCCCTTTCTTGTTATTGAATAGGTTTCCCGCCGCCTTAAAGACTTCTGAGACCTCTAAGACCTGTGAAACCATCTGTTTAGCCTGCATGCTTGCTCTCGTGATTGGGTTTCGCCTCACGGCCGCTTTTCGTGTACAGCCACCTACTACACCGATGACATCCGCTTCTAGAAAAAAATTATTGAAACCTCTGTGTTAATAGCGCCGAGAGGAAAACTTACTGGCTAATGCATATCTCCTCGCAGTGAAAGAGATTTTATGAGGTAATCTTGTGACCATTTAAAATTTTATTTCTTTATGAAATACTTTCGTCCAATCTTTTTCCAAGGCATATTTCGAAGAAAATCCCAGAGATCTTCAAGTGCTCAGACATGACAAAGATCTACATCCCACAAGAATTCAACCTCATTTGAAAAACGTTCCCGAATACCTCGGTAAGTTGTCGACTGCCGCGAGCTGAGTCATTGTGCGCTAGTAATCCAGTTCTCTGAGTTCTATATTCTTAATTGCAGTTCCTCCCACTCTGCGGCCATCCATGGCCAAATCTTCCCGAAAGAGAAGACGTCCTTTCATATCATCACAAAAAAATGCTCACACCGCACACAGCAAGGTCAGTTTACTTTCTATATTCTGTACTCCGCTATAGCTTTTCCCTCAATGGACATTTCACAATTTAAAGTTGTCGTCGATTACGGATGGATTGTTTCAATTTAAGCGAAATAAGTTAAATTCACTTGTAGACAGTTTCGAAAGCTTTTCAGCACCGTCCGTTTTTAGCCTATCAGCCCTTTACACCCTAACATCAGTATTCACATTCTCCATACTGTTCATACATACATTTTCTGAGGTGCTGACAAGGAGAATTTTTTCAACAATCAGGGTTTCTGTAGTTGGTGATCATTTCATTTATTCTCATGACCTTTATTTGTATTTCAGGGATGATAT